GATGTTTGCGACAGCACGGATGGGTTTGGAGCGAGGGGTGCAAAGGAGTAAAGAGCGAAGCAAAGGAACAAAAGGGATGGATCAAAGAGGATTCCGAGAGGGGGAAAGCTGAAAGCTTGTAACGCTACGGATACATGGCGCTGCAACCGTGGTGGCATACCTACCACTTCCCGCTTCAAACTATCATATGAGCGCCACTATCCTTATTTTGTTTCCCCCTTCCATCGACCGGCCCCCTTGGCCATGGACGCTTTCGGGAAATCACACCAATCATAACGTTGCACCAGTGGTGCCAATGACTTGTCTCATTGGCTGTTACTAGGTTGTTATGAGCTCAGTTAAGTTTAAACTTTGGAGCACTGGAGCTTATTGAGGAACTCATTTGACAAGCTTCCAACTTGTTAGTGACTTAACAGGCATGCTAAGTCAGGATCGCCTAGACACACAATGGCCCAGCCCACCCGGATGAGCCGGAGGCTTTGTGGACGGTCACGGTGCCCTGCTCCACTCATCTTGAGGATCGAACGGTCCGGGAGGGGAAGAGACCTGGCCGTCCGGGGGCCCGGTTTTGCCGGCAGCTCCGTATCGGTTTGCTCTCACGATTTGCTTCTTTTCCTTCCCCCGCCTTGCATCCGTTGTTTGGGTTACCGCCATGTCTGACCGCGAGGGAGACTGAAACATCATCCAAACTTCTTAGAGGACGTGGACGCGTGGCGCTCGCTTGTCTGGGTTATTGGTCTAGACGGAGAAGCCCTTTTGCCGACCCCACGCAGAACAGCAAACATTCTTCCTTCCCGTCTCCTGAATCTCTGGACGACGATCAAAGGGATATCCGTACATGCGTCTTGCTCCGGCAAGATGAGGCGGAATCAAGCTTGTTGTGATCCCTGGCCCGCTCGGTCACCCCCCTTGATTACCTTGCCGGACGGCCGTCTTTCCCCGCACCAGGCGCCTGACCTCCATGTCCAAGGATTCGGGAGAATTGGCGTGGGAAACTGACATTGGAGACACGAGCACGGGCGTGCTCTCATCTCCGACTCATACTCGGAGGCTTAGGCTGCTGGCACCACCCACGTAGTCTTGCATTATGCAGTAGCATAGATCGCCCGTTCGATGGCCCGGACCGCTTGTGCCTTTGCCTCGCTTCCAAGCGCGGGCGACTCTGACGACAGAAGCATGAAGGTTAGCTCTTTGCGCCTGTTACGGAGGAACAAGCCCGGCACGAATACGGGCGCCGTCTGATCTCGGTGCTGCGTCCAGTCCGTGCTCCTCTCAGTTCTATCGACTGTAAGCGCCCGTAAGTGTCTTTGAGCTGTCAGTCTGCATCGCGCTGAAGCCATAACGGAAGCCTCACTCTTCTACTGAATGGAAGCCTTTCCTTAACGGAAAATGGGAACTGAGTCTGTGCTACTCGAAGATCTACATTGAATTCTGCGGAGAAGCTGAACAAACTTCGTGTCACATCGCACGTGGTGCTTTTCGATTTCGACATTTTGGAAAGGAACGTCGTTATCGTTAACGGAAACTGCACGCCGAGCCGGGCCAAGCCCCGGCCGAGAAAGCTTGAACGGCGCAGCACAAGACAGCGAGAAAAAGAGCGGGACATCACTCAGAAGCGGACTTATTTGGCTGTCGTCCCGGAGCAGGACTTCAGTACTCGGCAGATGGGTAGTGGAACATCGTACGAAGCTACCATACTACCTTGCATGTTAACCCTGGGCGGTCTGTTTCCTCCGACCACATGCCATGCCATGTTGAAGAACCCTCTGGAATGTCTGCACCGGGCCGATTCGCAATTGGGCCGTCTCGGACCAGTAACAGCCAGTGGATTGCAAACCCGAGGCACCGAAGCTCTCTGTGGGAATATTTTGGCTAGATCATTCCTATCACTGATCAGGGGCAGATGCAAGCCTGATCGACGAATGGGCAGCAATGATAACCGAGCTCACCAGAGCTAGAGTACGGGTAGAGGTGTAGGTAGGGAGATCGCCATACGCCCACCAAGAGCCGCAACCCGATGACACTGCCGGCTACTGGACCGGTGAACGTTGCCCCCCTCTGTCATGATACCCGACAACAAGGAACCATGTACGTTTGGCAGCAAGTTCGGTGGTACCTAGTACACTGTCAAACTGTACACCCCCTCATGCCGCTGGCAGCAGCTGCTACTACTGCCTCCCTCCTTCGGCAAACAAAGATCAAACATAGAGATACGAGGCGGGAAGGGCAGTCACAGACGAAGTGACGGCTCTAAGCGCCGGACCGCACCCGTCCCTACTCTACCACTGCCGCAGGGCTCTCTCGGCTCTCTCTTGTCTCCCCATTGTTGCTCCAATCTCCAAGTATCCCGTACGACATATATACTTTCAATAGTGGCGCCCGGCTCGCGGCTCACGTCACCGATGGACCTAGCGCCCGGCTAGCTCTGCTGTCTAGCAGTCCGCGGCATGCGAGCGTTGTATGCCGGTTGTCGGTTATGGGGTTAGTGGGCTAATTAGCTCAGGATTTACAGTACTGAGGTAAGAAGTTTACCTACCATGTCACTTACATGAGAGAAGGGAAAGAGGGGTTGGGACGATGAGCCTTGAGGTGGGTTTGGTCCCTTTTTTAGCTTGAATCCCGCCCTGGGTTCAAGCATTGCGCTGCTCAATGTGGCTTGCGGGCTGGGCAGGGGGTTTGGGGGGCAGCAAAGATGCACGACTTGTCGATGTTGCACTTCTACCCGAAAGCCACACGAAGAGGAATACGAGGAGCAAGTTTTTTGTGCACCCTTCTTTCTACTTATTGGTTGGGCTGACTGACTGATCTAGCGTCGAAGCCACTCTCGCTGCGGGCGGCTAAGAATGTTCTTCCTTCTTGACCGGACCGAGGGAATGGAACAAACGCCTCATTGTTCAAATTTTCTCTTCCCTTGGTTTGCGCCATCGCGAAGGCAGACATCAAATGTCGTTGGCGAATCTAAACGCCACGACGTGCACGGGTCCAACCGCTTGACGTCCCAGTCCGGTTCTTGGTGAACGATGACACGCCCCTCCCATCATCGACATCGTGGGCTTGAAATGTTCCTAAACGCCCGCGCCCTTCCAACCCACCCCCGGGGGAGAAATTCAACCGGAGGAGAATCGATCCGAAGGGAGAGGAAACAGCAAAAAAAGAAAAGAAAAAGAGCGAGGCTGAACCAACAAGCAAAGGAGAGACAGTGAGAAACATCCGAGGCACTACGATGCGCGCTATGGACTGAGACTAAACCCCAAGCGAGGAGAAAACAGGAGAAGAAGTCCAACAATTCCCACGTCCCGCTTTGGCGCCGCTCCTCTTTGGACTTTTTGGCTTCGCCCGCAAAGTTTGGGCAGAACTTGGCGCTACATGTTTTTTCTTTCTCGGCACCGCAGTAGTTACCTTAGTCCCTCGGCTGTAGTTGCTCAGGGCGCGTGGTGCGTTGTTCGCGTGCGCAGCGAAGAGTGGTTGCTTGACCTCATTTGATGTGAAGCGAGAGGCGTGTGTATATGCAGATGTAGCGCAGGCTGCGAAAAGAAGCCATCGCTCGACGAGAAGCGGACGACTTTGACATCTGGTGTAAGTACACTTTGATGTCCTCACTGTTCGTCTACCCTACTCTTCATCATCCCTGCTTTTCGCCTTCTTTTACAGGTTTGGGTAATGAATGTCTCATGATCGAGAGACATTGAGTTCAGGTTGGACTCCATCGAGACGCATTTCGCAGATTTGCTACCTCCGCTACCGTGGGACACTATTGCTCACGAGACCCTATCGAGACCTGTTTTCGAGGCCCGCCGTCGTCTGACGATGAATGTGTGAGGAAACTATATGCAACGCCAATGCCGAATCACTGCATCGTGAATACGAAGAAGCTCACGAGCGGGACACTGCGCAGTAGAATGCAGGAAGAATGAGGGATTTGAAGGTGATGTGAGGTCCCGAGAATGCAACGGCATAATCAACTCGGAGGATGAGTTGGGGGTTTGGAGACGACAAAATGACAAAACGATTGCACCTGCCGGAATTCGAATCCGGGTCCCTCGCTGATCTCGGATCACAAATTGGGAAGTGGAAGGCGAGGATGATAACCACTACACTACAAGTGCTGGTTCATGGTGGATACCGAGGCAGCAATCTCACGATGTAGGGAAAGCGGCGGCAGGACGGTATGACCCCGCTCTGGGGTTTTGAGGTTGGTGGGGTTGATGGAATCTGAAGGGATCTTGGACCTGGGGCTAGGTAGGCTGGCCAGTCTGTCCGTGATCGTCATCTTGTGTGAAATGAGTGTTGGATCTCTTGAAACTTCAGCCGCCATGCTTGCATGAAGCGAACGCATTGTCATCCGCTGGGAAGACGTGAGCACGCTGTGAGTAAACAGTCTCGGCTTCGTTCAAGAGACTCCACTTACACGGGTAGGTAGCCATCTAGACTCAAGACCACTTCACCTGAACTGAGCTTGAGTTCTCTCTGATGCTGAACTCCTTACTCCGTGAATCCGGTTGAGAACATCCCACCTCCTCAACATCTCTCACGACTTTGGAAATCAAATCAATCCCGTCCCTTGTCCCTCGTCCCTCGTCAAGACCGCATGTCAAATCCCCCAAGTCTCCCAGTATCACGTCGCTGACATCCGTTCACTCGTCGGTCTCTGAAGACCAACCGACTCTTATAAGAATGCAACCCGTTCCAAGCACATTCATTCGGTATCAGTCGGAGGAGGGAGAGAGAGATCGTGAGCAGGACGGGGATATGTCGATGCGAGGGAATGACATGGCAACTTCAATAACACTTTCAAGAGCCTCGAATCTCATCGTTTAGAAATAATACTCTTCAAACTCTACACGACATTTCGCCATTCGTCTCGTCTTACATGTAGTAGACAACCAACATACGCGCGCGATGAGTAATGGTGATGAAGTCCTGTCAGCGTTCACGGCAAGTTCACCGTGGTCTTCTCTCGTAGGTTGCTCCTGAGACCACCATTCAACGCTGGAAGTCGTGTTCAATATTGACTATCAACTCAGGAGTACCCAATAATCCTATTCACGCAAACGCTGTAACTGGGTAGTAAGTCAAGTTAACCCTCCGCGGCACTTTCTTGACTATGCATCCAACCGCTTCTCCCCAAGGAACACAGTCCAAGCATTACTCCTCACATGACTGAGCACAACAGCTCAGTTCCATCAATATCCGAGGCATTCTCTCCGCGAGGGAATGTTTCCACTGACCTCTCGTTCCGGGGGTAGCGGCATGGCAACTCTCTCTGGCTCTCTAAGACCTTTGCCACGATCTTGATGCTCTTCCTTTCTCGCTCTTTCCGCATCAGTCCATCGACCATCTGAAGTCTTGTCTTCAACTCCAGAATACTCTGGCAGTCAGAATCTTGTGCCCTTCCGAGTTCGTATTCAATTTTGTCAAAGGTTTCGATCATATTGACATACAACAGTATGTAATTGAATGTGGAGTAAGAGCGGTTCCCATCAATATCGTCGTGTAGGTCTGCTTTGACTAAATCGAGGATTTGCACTCGAGAAGGCTCAAGGTATCCCCTTGACACGACTACATTCAGCAAAGCATTCGGTCTGGTATCGGACTGTTGGGACTGTGCTTGATCTGACTCCCTCAAAAGGGCATTCATTCGGGATAGCAGCTCTTGATCGTCTACACCTAAAGTTTTCTTGAAGCGGTCCACTAGATTCTCTTGGCCCTTGGTCCTTGGGTTCAAAAGAGGATCGGTAATTAGCTGAGAAGCGCGAAGCAAGGCCAAACGAGTCAGTGGGTTGAGTTCATTGTCTGGTATCCATTCAACGTTCCATTCCGCTTCTCGGTAAAGCAACAAATGAGACTTGGTATTGAAGGCTAAGTTTCTGCCGACGTCGATTGCGCGATGGTATCCTGCCGATGCCGGGAGGGCCGGCTTTTGTTTTGCTCTGCCAGCACCCCACAGGAGCTCTCCCCTGCCAAGAAAGGCTTCAGAGAAGTTGGACTGTGGAGCTTGGCCGCCAGGGAAGAAGCTATCTCGAAACATGTCTTGTAATGCTCCATAGTGAGCCAAAGGCTGTTTGATATGCTTGGGTTGGACAAGCATGTTGTGGAGATGTATCATGGCCATCGGTTCCTCGAGGTTGTCCCAGACGAGCATGCTCGTGCGGTAAACCCTTTCCAGACCCTCCATCAGTCCCACGCCACAAAGAAACGGAGAGTATTTCCACAGACCATTGGGGCCGGTATGATCGAAACGGGATATCGGGAGTATGTTGCCATCCATTGGGACTGACTGACCCAGGAAGTCGAATTCTCTACAAACTACTTTCAAGAACTCCATCATTGTCCGCCTATGCACGTTACGGTTTTCTATACCGTAAAAATTAGCCAGCAAGTTGGCAGACCGAAGAAGCCCGTTGCTGACCCCCAACTTCTGATCGTCGTTATTGTGATTGTCGTCGTCCTTTTTGTTGTCGCCGATGTGCAGCTTGATGTCGCCGATGAACCGTTTAGTGCCGCCGTTCTTTTTGCCATTGCCACTACCATTGCGCTCCTCATTACTATTTCCCGTTTGTCTACGTCCTAAAAACCCATCAATATCTTCCATCGGACCAAGCGTATCTAGACATCGTGGTCCAAGGACATGTCCCCGCCGAGTGCTGTTGGTCCAGCCACATGACACGGTGAAAGCATCCACAATGCATTGTAGCTGAAAGACGTGACGAGGCATGATGTATCGGAGAACATCCGTTCCTGGCTGCTGGATCGCCAACGCCGTGACAAAGCATGCGAAATCCCCGAGGCCAAGAACCGGCTCAGACCCCGTCCCTGGACTATCGGGGAAGTCTTCACGCCGCTCCCACTCTTCATCACCTCGGTCGTAAAGGTGTTTAGGTCCTGTATAGGAGTTGACGAGATCGTAAAGCCAGTTGATCGTGTATGAATGCCGCCACTTCAGTCTTTGCTTCTTGGTGGCATTTCGTAGATCAAAAGTTGGATCCCAGTCTTTGATCTTGGCAAGCATCTTCTTAGTCGGCTTCCCATTCTGTGACTGTTGATAGTCTTCGATGAAGTCAACCAGATCTCGGTAGGTTCCCAGCTGAATGTACTCTTTCAAGTCGACGGAGACCGTCTTGGCTCCGTCATACTGCCTCGCGGGACTCAGTTCTGCCAAAGCTTTGATGAATGTGCCTTGTGCAGTCTCGAGGTTTCCACGGATGATGGCTGCCATAACCGTTTCGTATAAATGTTACTCTGGGATCTCGCCGAAGACATCTAGTTCGGTATCCTGGACCATTTTGATAGCGACTTTAGACAGTGTGCCAGCAATAGCACCATGCAACCCACAGTAAGCTGTCTCGCACCAGACATTCTGAAGATAGTTTCTGAGGATGATGCACTCCTTGACGATTGCGCAAGCAGCCATAAAATTCTCAGCTTCCCCAATCCCATCGGCTTCGACGATGCTGTATTTATCGATAGGTACCTGGTTCAGGAGGGCACCGGGAGCCTTCTTCGCCTTCTTCTTGCCCTTGCCACCTCTTCCCGATTTCGCTTGGGCTCGCCTTCGGGATCCACGAAGAGGAACACGGCTAGCGTCGTTTGATTCCTCGTTAGAGCTCTCGAGGCTTAGGTTTTGCAAGTCCAAGGCTGAGAATTGGATGGCGTCGGCAAGCTTTTCTGGAGTGATATTGCTGGTATTCGATCGAATTTTCTCACCTCTTGGCTGCGCAGTCTCTATCCAGGCGTCTCCGCCAAGGGCAACGAAAGCCTCTATGACGAGTTGGATAAACGTATCGTGAATCTTGATGTCTTTGCCATACTGAGGGTCTTCCTCAGTCACAATACGTCGCAAGAAAGCCAGATGCTCCGCCCTTGCGTCGATGACGGACCTGAAAAGGCAGGATGTGGTAGGCGGTATCGTCTGCATGTGTTTCTTCACGAACTTGGCTACCGATGGAAGGTTATCGACACGAACCTGTCCGGTTGTGTTGAACTCGACCGACGGCTCCCAGGCACCGTCGTCCCTTTTCCGCGTCTTGATGATGAAGTTGGATGCGTGGATCAACCAGTAGGCGAGGTGTCTGGCGTCGCGTTTGTACACGACGAAAGTGTTTGGGATAGCCATGATCAATGATGATGCTGTGAGAAAATGACCACGAAGTCAGCATCGATGACAGGGTATATAGTGTGGCTTTCTAGTGATGCTGTGCTTCATATCAGCAAATGAAAGATGCACCAGGCCCTCACTGGGTGATACATACAAGTCATTTGTATCGGAATCGATGATTCAGCTGCTGTTTTCGAGTCCTTGATCCAGAAGAGAGGGATGTCGTTGAAGATCTCTCTCTGGTGGGTGATGTAGTGACGAGAGAGAACGCAGCCTGACCAAAGACCAAGGCAAGGTTTGCGGGAGGGCAACAAATTGCCCAGCTTTCTTGTGCAGCTGCGAAGGCACTTCGCTTCCATTGAGATGCCTTGCAGAACTGTTACTCTTGTCAGCTTAGACCGGGAAGCTGCGAAGTAGAATAGGTTCGTTTGGGCTACGGAAGGTGCCCATCGTGAACTTACGCCATCACCTTGCTATCATCATTTCCGACGAAGGTCGCTCTTCGCTCCGTCTTACAGGCCTCGTCTTCCTACCTCCTCTGTCCCTCATACCGACATTCTTCGATGCGAAAGGAAAGTGTAAACGCACTACTAGGGCAAGCCTGTTGACAAGAACTCCCCATTTATTCTCATCCGTCATCCATCGAATACGAAGAGTAGGTGGGAAGAAGAGCTTTCGACAAGCCCCCGCACATGGTCATCAGGAGGGAAGCATGAAACGAACAGATAATTAATTTGGAGAAGAGACATCTTTGAATTAATCAAGTCGCAGATTTCCCTACGAAGAAAAGAAGACTCCCCGGCGCACAGCGTGTAAGTGTCACGCTGAATTGGTAGCTTTCGTCTACTCCAAGCTACATGCTCACCCTGTGATGCCAATGAGCTATCAACGTCACCACCTCTTTGCTTCTATAACCGTCCATGCGTTTCAGAGACTTATCGCTTGGCTTGCTCACTCAACCAAGTCGTCGTCGTTCATACATATAGTGATGAAAATGATGCCGATGATGCGAGTCGTGAGCCCCGAAAACCAGAACGCCATGTACCTGATAAAGTATGCAACCCTGCGTCTCCCGATGCTAGATCTCTATGCCTGTTTGCACCATCCACAGTGCGTTGAGTGCACAGTTGGACTTTCAATTGTCCAAGTCGTCTAAGTGCGGCCTTCGATTACTGGGGCCGCGTCGTTGGTGACATTATCCAAAGTCCGTCTTTCTCGTTCATCGGCCCATAGCGCCCCATCCCTACTGTTGAATGATGGTTCTGTCAGGATACAAGCCCTGAATAATAGTCCAACACCACCGTGTAGAACTGTCTTCGTCCTTAAGGCCCCGAAGCCAACTAATGCCCTGTGTGATCGTCATGTTCGCTGCCTCGTCAAAAGTCGAGTCGCAACGGCTTTGCCGAATTTGGAAGAGGGTGGGGTGTGTTGTAGATAGGTGCAAGAAGATGAGTATGCCGAGGATATTTTGAGACCAATAGTAGAGGCAAGGAATCATGCGTTTATGCTGAGCGGCTGGCGGAAGGATGATAGGCCAGAGAAGGCAAGCTTCCAAGAATCTCTTTGTGGCGGACAAGTCGGTTTCGGTCAAGTTTTCTACTCGTGTATGCAAGGCCTTGTATACGAAAGGCCTGAATAGTAAGTACTCGAGATGGTAGAATCGAGACCGGAGTAGAGCTTCGAGCACATCGTTCGAGTTAGTATAGAGTGAATCATGAAGATATCCCAACATGGGAGCAGACTGCAACCCTTCCATGGCGTCGGCGGTATACAAGGTCGGCGCCGCGTAAAACTGTTGGTCAGGAACCTGGGGATTGAGGACCGGGAAGGATGCTTGGAATGCATCCAAATGCTGCGTCCTGTCCCATTGCAAGACGCTGGGCAAAGAAGTGTGCCACTGGTCAAGCTGTGAAGCTAAATCGCCGACTAGATCTTCGAGAGAGTCGGCCAGGTTCGGCGAATTCCAGTTGGTTTTCGAAGTGGATCCTCCAAGAACTGTTGCATATGCAGCGTGTCAGTGAGGGTCAGAATACTGGGGGGTTTTCGATGAGAGATTTGGAAAGGTCAGCTCGCTGCACTTGCACCCATCCGGGGGATCCATATGCGAGGCGCACATCTGTGGCAGAAGCAGGTGGCAAAAATAGAAAAAACAAGAATACGATGCCAAGCGCATATGGAGCCGCCAAACAAGGCGTTATCGACGTGCGTTGACCAGGCTGGGAAGAAAGTGGAAATGGAAATATGGTCGGAAATGGAGAGAGGGTCCGAAACCAGGAGGGGGACGGGGACGGGGGACATTAACTCACTTCTTCTCAAACTGCTATGGATCTTGACCCCCAGATTTCGCAACGAAATCTGGTGGAGGAATATCTCACCACAATTTGATCTCCTGTCGTTGTGTATGCTTTGACTCAAACTCGCATCTTCGGTGTGAGCATAGGCCGAGAAGGTTGGCAGTTGCATACTCGCCTCCAGCTTCTCGAGGCCGGTTAAAGGGAGGTCGAGTTCCAAGTGAAGACCGCTGCAGCAGAGCACCGGTTGTTAGATGACGAGTTCTTGTGGTGGGAAAAGCAAACCCTGCCACAGCTGAAGGTATACGGAGTGCAAGACAGCAACCGACGTGGTGCAACAGAGGTCCCTTGCCCATCTGCGAGTTGAGGCTGCCTTGGCCAAAAATCCATGAGCAGAACAGGGGCTGGGATTGGGGGCACGATGGGGCCGGGAGAGGAGGCGTGGGTTGGGGTTCTCGGGATGGACTGTAAATCTGCGATGCACGTACGTTTCCATGATGGAGCAATACCAAAAGGCGCGGCGGATCTGATCGCCGCGCACTGAGCGAAGTTCGGCAGAGTTACTATTAACGTCCGTCAGCCCATTTCCGGATCAGCACCTCACCTCAGCCATTTAAAGTCTCAAACAGCCCCTTCTGCAGACAGACCACCCCTATGTCGCCTTCACTTACCTGGTAATCAAGGCGCGGCAAGCAAGGGACGCCGATATGGTCATTCTCCAAAACTCCTGTGCAAGATTTCGATTCAGCCAAAGCTTTCAAGCACTCTTCTTTTCAGGTACACTCACCACATGCCGAGAACAGCACTCATAGTACAGCCTGTCGTTGGCCAAGCCAATTCCGGATCAGTCAAGCTTTCGCACCATACGGGGGGTCCGCACACCGAGATGCGGCCCGGGCGGCCGGACCCGGCTCCGCAAGCCAGTCCGTACAGGGAAACTTACCCCGCCAAGATATACATTTGGACATTCTCCAAAGCACACTCTGTCATGGAGAACCCCAAGCGCCGTCGCGCTTCGTTGAAGAATACAAGACCCGGCGGCCGGAATACCAACTCGTTTGTTGACCCGACAGGTTCACCGGCACTGTGGTCCTCGAACGCCGCAAAGGCCCCGCCAGATCCTCCTACGAGAGCAACCTCGGCAAGGGCCAGCACCAGGCATACCAATGTAGATGCCGCATTTTCTTGAAAGTGGCTACTGCAAACGTCCTGCAGTGTTTTTTCCATGAAGTATTGACGGTCTAGAACAGGATGGATTCGATTGAAAGTATCGAAATACGTCGTGACGCGGTCCACAACAACGGCGTAGTTCAAATCCGTCAGTTGCGGCGTCTGTATGTCTATCGCTAAGCTCAGCGACATACGCTCATGATAGCTCACCGTTTCTAACCCGCCTAGAGGAAGGCGCCGGTCTTGGCCTTGCTGATGGAACAACTCGGACGGAAGGTCGGGTTCTCGGAAGGCGGATTGGAGGTTTGGTATTTTGGGTTGGACGTCTTCTAGTTTCTGTCGCACTGCAGGCCATGCCATCATCTTAGTGACTGCAGACGCATATCGGTATGGTTCCTGTCGCAAGGGTTTCGGGGTAGGTAGGCCTTGAGCCTTCAAAGTGCTCGTCGACGAAGCGTCATCGCCACTATCCTCAGACTGGGAAGAAGACGGGACGCTGATCTGCATATTCTGGAGCTGAGCAAATAGTTGCGGTATTTGACTGGTATTCTCGTTGATGCTTTTCACAATTTCGAGTAATTCAACCAAGCTTTTGTCTTTTCTATAGCCAGTTAGCATGTCCAGACTGAGCTGACAGCGTTGCTCTAGGACGCAGTCGTGGGCTCGCTCCGACTAAGAGAGACAAGAAAAGAAGGCAGCAAGAGTTGTTCTCGTTTCCAGGAGTCGCGCCAGGGCCGCTGACTTACTTAGTTGGTACTGGGTCTCCGTAGAAGCATTCAAGCCCCTTCTTTTCGCAGAAGCCACAGGTTGGCTTGCGTTCGTCGCATTTCTGCTTCCTAGTACGACAGGTGGAGCATGCCTACAGAGAAGTCAGACTAAATACAGGCCAGTGTCGAATCACGGCTGGAGGAAAGAGAAGGACGGCGACAGTGTATTCTCGCGGATCAAGACAACGGCCGTTCGCCCTCGCATCGTCTACCACTTGGAACTTGTCCACAACCCTCGGGGGGATAGCCACGAAGACAAGGCCAGGCTAGACATGGTGAGGATAGGTACGAGGAGCAGGGCTGAACTTACTATGGCGGCGATAGGGCCACGATCCTTCTTTTGGTACATTCGGCTGGAGCCCGAACCCGTTGAGCTCGAAGCCACAGATTTGGAATCGAAGTTCATTATTCACCTAACAGTGAAGGGGTTCGGGAGGATGGTCGAATCCGGGGGGGTTCGGGTCATTCAGTGAGATTTGGTAGTTGATGTTGAGGCGAAAGGGTGGCATGCTAGGCTAGGCAGGGCGACAAGAGAGACGGAAAAGTCGAGACCTGCGGGACAAGAGGCCCAGCTCAGGCAAATGGTCTGGGGTCGTTGAGTCTGCAGAACCCTAGTGGCGATGAGGGGGCAGCAGCGGCCAGGAGAATGGCCCAGGGCGATTCTCGGCCGGGCGCAGCATCCGCGAGCTGCTGGGGCAAAAGATGCAAGTTGATTTTGGATGTCGACGTCGAAAGGTGGTTGAAGTGGCTGCGAGGGCCCTTGGCGAGACTCAGTTGAGTCCCGATGAGGCTGTTGACCAGTTGAACGAGGTACAGAAACTATGGGAGATGGGAGGAGACGTGGAACCGGTGCCCGTCTTTTCGACCAAGAGAAACGGCACGGCAGGCGGGGTGGGATATGGGTCTAGGTCACCCGGAGTACATGCCGTGCACCAGTTGTTTTCACTTTCTGGCTTCTTGTTCCTCAGAAGTGTGTCTCCCTCTGTCTCTGACTCTGTTTCTCTTTCTCTCTCTCTGTTTTTTTTTTTTGGACCTAGAATTTTGTCGGAGAGGAACGTGCGGCACCGCCGGCGCTGCGGGTGGGCTCAAAGACTACACCGGGGGACGTCAATGCCGACGAGCGTTGTTTGTTGACTGGTAGACACCGGTAAAAACCGAGCGTAGTTTGTGGTACGCAGCCTTTCGGATTTGTGTGTGGAAACAGAACGCTGGCGAAGATGCGGCGAGAGAGAAAAAAAATTGTATTTGGTCGGAGTCGTGTCCGACTCCCCGTCACGGCGTCTGTCGAAGAGCAGTAACGCAACCTACGCACACGGAAGGTGGAAGGAAGGGCTAGGACGACGAGGGCAACCAAAACGATAGAGGCAACAGCAGCGACGCTCAAGCCGCAGACATATGCGACGACAGCAGGGCAGGAAGCTGAAGCTTCCAAACGGCGGCAGTTAGACTGTTTGCTTACGCGCCTTCGGTACGAAACGATGGAAGAGCAGGTTCGTCCTAGACACGAACTCTACATGCGATGCACAGTTTCGTTTTACCTGACAGAGGCCAAAAGAAGTGCAAGGGGACGCGGACGCGGCCCAGGAGTGATAAATTGATGTTCTACTAGCAGGACCAGATCACGAAGCGGAGCCATGAGAGAAAGGGCGTAAGTTGATGAGTCGTTACCCCGTTACCGTGTTTGGGGGGGCACTTGTGATCATAATATATGCAGAACTGACAGTTCGAGGCCGCAGGGAATCGCACGCTAATAACAGCCAGGTTGGGTCGACAGACTTGGCTCAAAATAAGTTTCACTACTGTTGAAGCACCCGAACCCGAATGTAGGCACGGCGAACACGCTTGTCGGTGGTCATCGGCGGCAACGGCAACGGTAGCAGCAACAGTAGTGTGCCAACGATAGCACGGCACAGATGGGTTGGTTGCGTTGAGAACACGGGTAGAACGAGATGAGATGCGCCATACGATGCGTGAGAGCGATACGATGCGATGGGTTTGTGCCGCGCCCAGGCCTTTGGGGGGTAACATAGAGAGTCATTGGTTACCATCCTCATCCCGTTCAGCCTGGGTTCTCAGAACAAAAGGAGACATTAGCTTACATGGGTCTTGAGCTAGTCAAGCAGGCCCATTAGTAAGGCAGGTGAGGTATTGAGAAGGCAATGTATGGATACATTGGTTTTTGCTTGAGGCGGCGACTCCACGTTGCTCTCCTCGCGACCTCGCCTCATGTAACCTCCGCCTATTCTGGTACGTACGCCAGAGAGTCGGTGGCTGTGTGTGTGTGTGTGCGCGCGCGTGCGTGTATGTGTCCACTGGTGTGTGAGGTGTGTGTGTGTGTGTGTGTGTGTGTTGAGTGAATATGTGAGTGAGAGTGAATGAGGGTGAGTGAGTGTGTGGTGTGTGTGTGCCAGAGACAGAGCAAAGAGGGCGTGGCCATCTGCAGTGTCTTCGTAGTTTACCTGCCTTACGGAGTGAGTATACATTGCTTGGTCCAGCAGCCAGCTCCGCCGTGGCAAGGGTCAGCAGGAGGCAGCAGCAAGACATTGGTGACGGTGACGGAAGGTCACCAAGATCCAGTCTCCTTCTGCCGCTTCCCAGTCAGTCAGCCCGGTCGGTCTCGCTGGATTAAATTTGCTGGCGTAGGCGTGGATGGGCGTGGATGGGCGTCTGCTGCGTCCTAATTCAGGTTGCAGGAAAGGTACGGAGTAGAAAGGTAAGGTTGTCGTCTGTCACTAGTACATAACCCGCTTTATCCTGGCGTTGAGCAGCATCCATTTGGTCGGAGCCGGTCCGGGGCCCTGCAACAGAAACAGGATGGCCCCTCCGCGGTAGCGAAGCGCCCAATGCGTGTGTGTAAGGTGGTAAGGTATTGTGTATCCCGCCAGTGGGCTAGTCGCTCATCCTTTCATTCTTGGGAGTGATGTGCAGCGTCTGATAGACCTAGAGTTGCAAGGGCAACTTGTCCAGCAGCCAGACCGTCTTTGAGGTGTCTTGATGCCGAGCCTGCGGAATAAGCTCACTGGAGCTGGGTACACCGTACTGGGGGAATGCATGGGCGTACGACACATCCCAGTATGTTTTAGTCAGTGCCGGGATAGACCCTTGATAGGATAGAAAAAGGAGGAGGGCATCTGTAACAGATTATTCAGTAAGTAGATGTACTGAAGAGGAAGAATAGAGCGGGCAAACGGGGAAACAAAGAAAGAAAGGCCCGAGTAGTGACGAGAGCCGTTTGGTCCTTGGACGGCAGAGGAGGTTGAACGGATGGAGTGGGGAGGAAGAAGACGGAAGCGATTCGTTCCCCACCAGCTTGTGTGTGCCCCTCTTTCGTTCGCCAGTCCCCGGGACACCGAGCACACTCTTAGCCCGTTGCCATCCCTATTGATCGCAGTTGAACAACAGGCTGAATAGCCTTTTGGGGCTCTTTGTCATCTTGGCTGTTCATACGTGGCCTGTCGGAAAGGCGCTCTCGATATCGTGGTAATCTTTGACGTAGGACGGTGGAGGCGAAGCGAGGGTGCTAACCGTATATACCGCCGAGTTGCCCTAGAATATCAACACCCAAAAGAACGCCACGACCTGTCAGCTGGAGAGACAAGAGAGAAAACCATGAAAACCGGCGAAACCATTTGAAGAGGAGGAGAAGCCGCTAGGTGAAGGCGTACGACAAGTTATCCGCTTTGGGTCGGACCTCAGTTAATAAACCAAACTGCAGCAGTGCAAGACAGGTGAGTCGGTGGTTGTTGGGGTAGGGGAGAGAGGAGGTTGGATTCGGGCCTCTCCCCATACGTCACCCCATGCGGTCGTGACGTTGTGTGCACCCTGCATATTTGGACGGCAAAAGATTTCAGCTACGTCACCCTGCTTGCTCATGCCTGAAGGGGAAGGGAGAAAAAAGGGGGCCGAAAAAGAAAAAGAGCCGTGTAGAGGGCGGCTTCTTCCCTGCGGGAGGAATGCTCTGCTGCAATGTCTCGTCTACTTACCGGTGCACCACCGTGTGCTTATATAAAAGAGGGTAAGAAGGAGAGAAAATGTGGCTTGGAAGGTGTAGGTGAGGTAAGCAGCCACGTCGTTTGGGGTAGGTAGGCAGGTATTCAGGTAGACGACAGAGTGGCAGGTATCCGTAAGGTACCTTCCAAATCCTTGGAGGAGGGTAAGTACCTTCAGTCGATACCTGCCTACCTTATCCCGTATAGAGAACGAAGTACTCGAGGTTAGAATTTGATGTCTTGTGCGGCATGCAAAGTGCCTCGGACATCAGATGACCCATGGAAGTCGTGACCTTACCGTGCGGCATGCCTCATCTCTTGTTTCTTTCTTTCTTTCTTCGGAAGCCCCAGACTTGAGGTGACTTCAATAAGTGCCGCAGGGAATATGTCCCCTCCATCAACCTGACCTATCCATTTAGCGTGCTGTCGAATAGATGAGATGTGGGCAAGGCCCGCGAGGGGAGGTTACGCTGCAGTCCCTCATTGTGTCCATATTAATTAACCCTTTCTCGCTCTCTCACGCGGGGGCTGAAGCAAAGCGCCCCATGATCAAGCTGTGAGCCTGCGGAGCATCTACAGTACCTAGGTGTCCGGGCAAGCGTTCAAGCCTCTCCAAAAGTCTCACTCGAATTGTCTTGGGTTCCTACCAATGTCGCTCTGGCTGGGCCCCTCACGACCCAAAATTGCGATGCGTCTTAGATGAGCGGGGGGAGGCCGGCGATGAGGGTGGACGGCAGTGTGAGTGGTTGGATTGTCGGGGCCATCTGGTAGGGGGTGTGGGAGAAGGTTCCATCCGAGGGGCCATCTCATCTGAATTGGATCTGAGCCAGATCTGCCTCTTCCTATTTGGGGCCAGCGTCCTCGCCCGTTCGCAACTTTACCTTCATTGGCCAAGCGCCTTGGGGGCAAGCCCGCGCCAGCCTGCTGGTGTCACTGTCCATTCCAATCCTCTAGCGTAGCTTCTTGTAAAACCTTGCCGTGCTTGCCTCCAAAGTAAA